CAATGGGGGTCACCTTTCTCAGTAAATGAATTTGACCTTGAGGTCAAATTTCAAGGTCATTTGGAGGTCATAGTGATTTTTTTAAATGGGACCGCCTACTTTTGACACCGGATTTGAAGAGAGCGGGAAATTTTACGTCAGAAATGATATTTTTAAATTTTTTATTTTGACCTTCAGAAGGTCAAATCAAGGTTTTAAAAGCGCTCAGAAGCTGTTTGTTTAAATGCGATTATCTTACTTTTAGCATTACCCAGAAACAACGACGTGGACGTAGTAAGTTCTGTTTCCTTTGGAGTGCTTAATTATCGTGAGTCCCTTTGCCTCTCACGTTTGGGGTGCTTGTTTACCGTGAGTCCCCTTGCCTCTCACGTTTGGGGTGCTTGTTTACCGTGAGTCCCCTTGCCTCTCACTATTGAGTTTTAATTTTAATGAAATTAAATAAGAAAAAATGTTAACAACCACAAAAAATACTCAACAAAAAATAGTAAAATAAACGATTACTAAAATGTAATTTAAACGTAAATTTTACCCCAAACGTGAGAGGCAAGGGGACTCACGGTAAACAAGCACCCCAAACGTGAGAGACAAGGGGACTCACGATAATCAGGCACCCCAAAAGAAACAGAACTTACTACGTCCACGTCGTTGTTTCTGGGTAATGCTAAAAGTAAGATAATCGCATTTAAACAAACAGCTTCTGAGCGCTTTTAAAACCTTGATTTGACCTTCTAAAGGTCAAAATAAAAAATTTAAAAATATCATTTCTGACGTAAAATTTCCCGCTCTTTTCGAATCCGGTATCAAAAGTAGGCGGTCTCATTTAAAAAAATCACTGACCTCCAAATGACCTTGAAATTTGACCTCAAAGTCAAATTCATTTATTGAGAAAGGTGACCCTCATTGTCCTGAACAAGTTTTGTCTTAACTATTTTTCTATATTTGGCTTACTTATGGAGAAATTTGGGTGGGTCCCGTAAAATGGCCCACCTTAAATCTCATATAGAGATATTTAAGGTAATCGATTAAAATGGGATACTTTGTGTGTACACACACACACACAGGGTATCCCATTTTAATCGATCACCTCAAATATCTCTATATATAATACTTTATATATATATATATATATATATATATATATATATATATATATATATACATATAATACTTATATATATAATATAATACTTATATATTTCTTTTCGTACGTCTTACGTTACACACACACACACACACACACACACACACATATACATACATATTTTATTATAATATATATTCTATATTATAAATAGTAATTATAATTAATAAATTATATATAATAATTAATATACATATATAATATATTTCTTAAATATATTATATATTTTACATATTTAGAAATCTTCTTTAATTAATATCTCGATAATTATTTCAAATATCGCAAAACGGTATAGGACTTTTATGTTCATCATAATCCGTATTATGCCTTCACAAGAGCATCAAAGGTTGTTCTGGGACACCTTGTATAGAGTGAGTCCAAAAAGTCTTCGTACACTAGAAATTTTCACAGAAAATAGTTTATTTCCGTATAATAATGAGTAATAAAGAAATAATCGGTTTTACATATAATAAAGTCTCTCTTTCGTAACAATATACCATAAAAACTTATAAATTAATAAATATTATACTCAAAAACGACAAAGGAATAAAATATGGTGATTTAGTAATGCGCAGAAAGTGTTCGTACAACACAATATTCTGACTAGAAACAAAGCAAAAATGAAAGAAACAAAATCATATTAATACTTTGTAGGATAGCCTTTAGCTTTTGTAACAACTTATAGACGTTTGGGCATAGAATGAACCAATTTGGATGTGTCAGATGCTGTAATTGAGTTCCACTCTTCTTGTACTGCTTGTCTTAAGTCATTCTTGCTTGAAATATATTTTTTTCTTATTTTATTTTCTAGAAGGCTCCACAAATGTTCTATAAGATTTAAATCAGCTGATTGGGGAGGTGTTTTCAGCTATTTAGATGTGTTACATAAGTAACTTAGTATTTGTGGCTGTGTGCTTGGGGTCATTATCCTGTTGAAATATAAAATCATGGGAACCTCATTTTTTCGGCACTGGCATGAAGATTATTTTTCAAAATATTTATATACGCTTTGTGATCCATAGTACCATCGATGAAATGAATATTTCCTACACCAGAAGCACTCATGCAGCCCTAAAGTAGCACAGAGCCACCTCCATGTTTTACAGTGGGTATCAAATTTTTCGGCTGAAGCTCAGCATTTTTTTGACACCACACCTTTTGATTCTCGTCCGATTCAAATAAATTGAACTTGCTTTCATCCGTAAAAATAATCTTATTTCAAAATTCTAGAGGTTTTGTTTGATATTCATGAGCGAACTCTAAACGCTTCTTGCGATTGGTCTGATTAATCCAGCTTTTTTGGCTATTCGCCCATGGTATCCCTCTTTGTGTAATATGTTTGTCACTGTATTTACAGAGATGTTGACTTGTCTCTTCAGCAATTCCGCAACTATCATGGGGGCACTAGTTTTTGGATCTTCTTTAATTTGACGTATGATAAATCGCCTGTCGTTGTCCGACAAAACAGACGGGCGTCCGTTTCTTGCACTTTTTTTTACTGTTCTGGTCTTGCCAAAGCGGTTAATAATACTCTGTATTGTAGAACGCGGTCTCCCAATAGTCAGTTTTCATATTTCATTTAATGACTCGCATTGATTATGCAGCCTAATAATAAGTTGTCTTTCCTCCGCGGTAGTTTCGCTTCTTGTTCGACCCATTTTCACCAAGTAGAGAACGACTGTGAAATTTCGCGTCAATATATAAAACCGAACAAAGCCCAAATATAAATAGACAAGGAATGTAAACATCCGATGTATATATTCCTTACTTAAGTTTTTATCACAGATATCATTGGTGTACGAACACTTTCTGCGCATTACTAAATTACCATATTTCGTTCTTTTATCGTTTTTGAGTATAATTAATTTTGAGTTTATTAATTTATAGGTTTCGTTTCTAGTATATCGTTAAGAAAGAGAGACTTTATCATATATAAAAACGATTATTTGTTTACTATTCATTATCATATAGAAATAAACTATTTTCTATGAAAATTCCTAGTGTACGAAGACTTTTTGGACTCACTGTATAATTAATCACTTCGCTGGCAGAGAAAATCAACATCAACTGGCCCAAAAATGGCAAAATCGAAATGATGCTTGATTTTTATAAAAGTCAGTACTAAAATACTTTTCGAGTCACTGAATACAAATTTGAGATCAAAATTTGAAAGTTCAAATTGACGGATCTAATGTGGCGACTAGAATTTTTTTATAAATTCAATGAAGTGGCAGATTTCTATGAAAATTTGTCTTAATAGTTTTTGAGGTCCCTGAACTGGAATTTATATAAATTAAAATTCTAAAACTGTACTGGAAGTTTAAAAAATAATTTTATATAGATTTTTTGAGTATGCTCATGCAGATCTTCTTTATCAACGTGTGTTGAAATTAGAGACCTCAAAAACCCCTGAATATCAAGTTTCATCCAAATCAAGTCACTTTTTGGTCCACCATATTGGATCCGCCATCTTGAATTTGACGAAAGTAACCTCAGATTCGAAAGCAACGACCTCAAAAATTCACGAATACCAGATTTAATCAAAATCAAGTCACTTCTCACATTTTGGTCCACCATATTGAATCCGCCATTTAAAATTTTCAAATCCAGAGCTCAGGTTCGAAATCAGCGACTTCAAAAACCTCTGGGTACTGGATTTGATGAAAATCTTGTTAACGGGAAAATAATAAAATAATGTGCATATTAGTGCGTCAATACCATTTTTGGTACATCCTTTATTTGACGCAAAAATGCGTCAATATCAGCGAAGTGATTAATATCTTATAATTGCCAATATTTTTGTTACAAAAAATAATAAAAATTTATAAAATTGTAAAATATGTATAGCAGTTACTACAAAAAAAAAGCTCATATTGTAGGGAGTCGAATTTTTATCCGCCACAGATAAAGGATCTAATATAACGCGCTTTAACCCGTTCAGCTGCTACACTTCACTCTGCTTATTGAAGCTAAGTTACAATACTTAAAGCTGGACAGATATCTAACTTTAATTATAAATTTCTCAGAAAGTAAGGCTCATGTTCTCAAACCCTTTTACAATTTTAGTATACTCAATACCCACCTTCGAATGAAGTATGATTTATTCCATTTCGTATTTCGCAATTCGTGCTATCTTTTGGCATAAAAATAATACAAAGATTATTAAAATCTAATAAACATTATAAAAGTCATTTGTAGAAAATGAGTTTTAGATTCTAACTTCAAAGACGAATATTTTAACAGGGATATACTATAGAAAGAAAATTTATATAAATTTATAGAGTTATTTTCATTTGATTTATACGCCTCTAAGAGACCTGTATTGAATCATCTGGTATATATCAAGGTAAAAATCATGGAAAAAGGATAAGCAAAGGTAAATATTTATTTTTTAGTTTTTTGTTGCTCTGTAGCAAATATAAAGTCCATCTTTACAGGCCATTAAAATTGGCAAGAAATATTTTCGACGTTTTCTTTGTTACTTATTAAGAAAACTTATTATCGAAGATAAAATAAGAATTAAGATTACTTATTATCGAAGAAAAAGCTAGAAAACTGGGATTTTTCTAGCTTTAAAGTATTTTTTAGAACAAAAACGTTCTATAACCATTTTCATAAAATTATATTAATGTTATATATATAAATTTGTTGATTAATTCGAGGTATTCCTTTAATTTTGTCAATTAATATAAATGACACAAATGAACTTAGTTTATTTTTGCATACAAGTATAATAAAAACCAAATAAATAGTACACATAATGATATTAAAATATCGCAGAAATTTGATTAAATGACTGAAAATTTAATAGCAAGCAACACAAGTCCTAAAAATCTCGTTAAATTAATTCAATACGTACTTAAAGGTGACCGCGATGAGATGTTCTGGCACATTGAAATGAATAATTGAGATATGACGATAAGCGGTATAGTCCTCCAACATATTGCTCGGTTGTTGAGCGATCTTTTTCAGTTTGCCACATAGTCCTTGATGTGCCATAAAAGCCCATACCAGCAAAATGATGAAAATGCTTTTTCGCATATTCCGTCTTGCTACATAACAAAATATCCGTCGAATATAAGACCTCGTTCAATAAACCCTCAGATAAGATATCTTCTTTTTAGATTTCACGTTTCCAATCTAAAAAAAAGAAAAACCTATAAAAAAATTATAACATACAATTTAATGTTTTTTGGTCTTTTACGAATATAGCATTTGAAACTTGAATAAGTAATAAATCAAATAGCATAGAAATAAAGACTATAAAAATAAGGAAAATAATTTGATGATAACATGTTTCACTCAATCGTATCTTTGAGTAAACCAGAAAATTTTTAGCTGTCACTAAAACTATTCTTATCAAAAAAAAGATATTAACGGAAATAATTTACGTTACGATATCATATACAGGGTGTTCCTAAATACAACCGACAAACTTTGAAAGATTGTTGGGAACACCCTAAGGATCATTTTCTGCAAATGTACTTGGGGTCAAAAATGGATCATTTCATCGCTACGGCATACGGGATGTTAGAAAAAGGACGGAACCTCAAAATATCTAAAAAAATATAAGTTTTATAAAAAATGGTTTCAGACAAAAGTTGTGAGGTGTAAAAAGATCTATTTATTAGTCTTATGAGTTTGATCTCGGGTGGCGCCGCCAAGGTCAAGGTCACCTTGAATTTTTTTAAATGAAATCCCCTATTTTTATCGCATATTCTTATACTCCTTCTCGAGATCTTTTCATAATTGTATCCACTTTATAACAGAACACCTTCGAGAGATCCTTGTACGGAAGCTTGTAACAACCGTACTCCGCGTGTCGGTTGGTGTCGATGCCACGGATGTATTCGCTCGTCGGAGTCCGGGTTCGTGAAATAAGATGACGCGGAGTGTAATAAACAAAAATAACAAAAAGATTTATTCAGCCTTGGTACAGAGTAGTCGCGTATTAGTATACAGTTCTCCTGGGTGACGGCGCCAGTTACCGGATCGCGGTTTCGATAGGCCGCGACAGGTAAGTCGGTAGGCGGAGCGTATAGCGCGAAAGCTAAGCTCGCCTCGGAGATTCGGCAGGCGGTCGCGTGTCGCGATTCGGTGTTCGCGATTCGTGCGCGGCTCGCGCGGTTGGTCGCGGGGATCGCGCGGTGTCGGCGGTATCGAAGTCGTATCTCAGTACGATATGCTGTTTTCGCGGTTTTGGCGGAGACGCGCTCGCTTGCACGTCTGCGTCGCAAGAGACGGGATGGGACGTGAGTAGCCGATGTATCGGCGTATTCACCCCCGATCTCGCTCGTCGAAAGGCTGAGAACAAGGGTCGAGAAAGCTCGACAGAGCGCAGCTAACTTACTGGCTTCGGTCCTTGTTCGGGACGTCGACGGGATGCAAACAAGAGTCGATAAAGATCGGCAGAGCGCAGCTAACGTACTGGCTTCGGTCCTTGGTTGCGAGGATGTGATAGTTGGCAGGTTGAGGAAGCAGATACGAGTCGGTCGTAGGCCTTGCTCTCCGCTGTATAGCATCGAGTTCGGTTGACGGTCCGGATCGGTCTGGTCTCGATTAATTTGGCGTCGCGGATTATATACTTGACGCCGCTTTGTCTTCGCTCGCTGTACACGTGCTTGTCGCGTGCCCGCGGCGCTCGCTCTCTATCGTTTCTTTTGTGTGACGCTGTGCTCGCGTTATCGCGTGTTCCTCG